TACCTTCCACACTAGCCATGAAATATAATGTAGTATGTAGTATATTGATTGCATTTAATTAACTGATTCAATATATATCTATTTTAGTTTTTGTATGTAATATATGTTCGTAGTATGTATGTATCTGTGTATAGTATATATATAAATATGTGTATTCTTTTTTATCACACCAATTTGCCCTACTCCTGTCATCTTCATGTAATCCTGTCCATTTATTGGTTATCTGGAAGAAATTGCTGTCAGCAATAAGATCGCCCATTGCATACTTTTAAAACGTGGTAGAGCCATGCTGCAATTATATTAGTAGTATAGTTGTAGCACTAATGGGTCGGCTCGACCGGGGAAGAAAGCTAGGAAAGCTAAAAAAAAGCTAAGTATCTATTGGAATTACACAAACAAAGACAAAAGTAGCAATTACCATTATTTAAAGTTTTGGTAACAAATTATTAAAAATTATTACAATACAAATCTACTTCATGCGTCTATGTTCTGTTTCACAAATGTTTGCGCGTGTATTGGTCAACATTGGCAAAACATTTGTAGGGTTGGTTATGATCGGTAATTTTTTTTCAAATATGATATTATTTGTTAGTTTAGATCTTATAAACAAAAATTATAACAAAATAGAATACCGACTTCAAAACAAAATATTTTAAAACAATAAATGCACTAAAAATTTTAAAAATAATTGCGTATTCTTGTATCTACAACTTACAATCAACTTATTTTTTCTACTCAATGTACGATCTATGCGTTTACCACGCAAGAAGGTAGGTACCGACTTAAACTTCACATCTAACTCAACACATATCTATGATTCACAAACAATTATCAAAATATTTTTTAGAGTTCAACTAAGCAAAAATTTTCAAATATATGTGTAGACTGCTCTAAAGACAATCAAATTATTAGGATAATATAATCTACAATTATTGTCATTTTTGGAGTCGGTGTCAGCCAAGGTATATTTCTAACTACTTAAACGTGAGATGTCTTACTATAATCATAACATAGATAACAATTGGCATACACAATTTACACACATAGACGCAGCACTCGGCGCGGGCTTATCGACGCGGGCGCGGGGAAGGAGGGTGGGAAGGCTACAGAAGTGAGCGAGCCAAACGCGTACGCCGGCCATTCGCCAGTCAAGAAAAAGAACATATACGAGTTACTTGATTATAAACCGATTCCGATTCTTTTTCATTCTACACCGTCTTTCTTACTGTAATTCCTTATGTTTATTATTAAAGCTACATTTTCGTATAAAGGTTGCTAGATATTGTCACAGCATATTGTCGTATTAATATTCGTCTATAAGTAGGTTTAATTAAGTATTGTTATTTTGTTGCATTAAGGTTGTTAGAAAGGTATTGTCACAGCATATTGTCGTATTGAAGTTAATTTGGAAATAGGTTAATTATATATTGGTATTTTATTGTATTAAGGTTAACAGATAAGTATTGTCACAGCATTTTGTCATATTAATGTTCATTTATAAATAGATTTAATTAGGTATTGGTATTTTGTTTTTTGTAATAAGGTTATTAGGTACTATCACAGCATATTGTCGTATTAATGTTCATTTATGAATAGGTTTAATTAGGTATTGGTGTTTTGTTGCATTAAGGTTGTTAGATAGGTAATGTCATTGGTACCTATTTTGTTATATTAGGGTTGTTAGATAGGTATTGTCACAGAATATTATTGTATTAAAATTAATTTGGAAATAGGTTAATTATTTTTGGTATTTCGTTGTATTAAGGTTGTTACTTAGGTATTGTCACATCACATTGTATTTAAGTTAATTTGTAAATAGGATTAATTAGGTTATTGGTATTTTGTTTATTGTATTAATGTTGTTACATAGGTATTGTCACACCATATTTTCGTATTAAAGCGTATTTCCAGGAATTCTCGTATTATTATTGCTAGGTACATTGTCGTATTTCCTTGGCTGACATCGACTCCAAAAATGACAATAATTGTAGATTATATTATCCTAATAATTTGATTGTCTTTTAAGCAGTCTACACATATATTTGAAAATTTTTGCTTAGTTGAACTCTAAAAAATATTTTGATAATTGTTTGTGAATCATAGATATGTGTTGAGTTAGATGTGAAGTTTAAGTCGGTACCTACCTTCTTGCGTGGTAAACGCATAGATCGTACATTGAGTAGAAAAAATAAGTTGATTGTAAGTTGTAGATACAAGAATACGCAATTATTTTTAAAATTTTTAGTGCATTTATTGTTTTAAAATATTTTGTTTTGAAGTCGGTATTCTATTTTGTTAAAATTTTTGTTTATTTTTCTATTTTTAGTGATTCTGAAGTTCGATAACTGATTTTATTTGTTTGAAAATGGGTAGACCTAGCAAACGCGCTGCTCATATGAGACAGCACCGTTTAAATGAGACAAACGAAGAAAGGGAGAAACGTCTATCTCAAAAGAGGAAATCTACCTCAATTGACATTTCAAAAGAGACTTGTGAAGAGCGCAAAAATAGGCTTTCAATAATGCGGGCTTACATGAAAAAAGTTTTGTACAGGGAAAATATCGAAAAACGTACTCTCCGTCTCGGCCTGATCCACGATCGCCTATCGAATGAGACGGAAGAACAACGTGCCCACCGCCTCGGCGTGATCCACAATCGTCTATTGAATGAGACGCAAGAGCAACGTGCCCACCGCCTTGGCATGATCCACGATCGTCTATCAAATGAGACGCAAGAGCAACGTGCTCACCGCCTTAGCATGATCCACGATCGTCTATCGAACGAGACGCAAGAGCAACGTGCCCACCGCCTTGGCATGATCCACGATCGTCTATCGAATGAGACGCAAGAGCAACGTGCTCACCGCCTTAGCATGACCCACGATCGTCTATCGAACGAGACGGAAGAGCAACGTGCTCACCGCCTCGGTGTGATCCACGATCGTCTATCGAACGAGACGGAAGAGCAACGTGCTCACCGCCTCGGTGTGATCCACGATCGTCTGTCGAACGAGACGGAAGAGCAACGTGCTCACCGCCTCGGTGTGATCCACGATCGTCTATCGAATGAGACGGAAGCGCAACGTGCCCACCGCCTCGGTGTCATCCACGATCGTCTATCGAACGAGACAGAAGAGCAACGTACTCACCGCCTCGGTGTGATCCACGATCGTCTATCGAATGAGACGGAAGAGCAACGTGCCCACCGACTCGGATTGATTCGCGATCGCTTATCAAACGAAACACCTGAAACTCGTTCAGATCGACTTAGTAGAATGCAACAAGCTAATCAAGCTTATAGGGACATCACAAATGAACAATCTTTTGAAGCGGCTATTAATATTTTTGCTGATGTACCATGCGCCGTTTGTAAAAGAAGCCTTTATCCTCAACAGCGTTCCAATTTACGAGCAAATATGTATAGTATACTATTACCTGAAGAACTGGTTGCTTTAGGTACAATAACTACGTGCTCTCGATGTAGCAATAATATTAGGAAAAGAAAAATTCCAACAACTGCATATTGGAATAAAATGATGCCCGCAGAAGTACCGCCTGAATTAGTCAATTTGACGAGCGTTGAAGAACGATTTTTAAGCCGCATCGTACCGTTTTTAAAGATTGTAAAACTTAATAACCGGTTCAGTCAAAATTGGTGTAAAGGGCAGGTCATTCTATTTGCAAAGGATGTTGTGGAAATTGCTGAACAGTTACCACTGACACCAAATCAAGCTGGTTTAGTTTTGGTAGTGGAAAGTCTCGAGAACCTTTCATGTTCTAAAGAATTCGTCGTGGATATGCAAAGACTGAATCGAGCATTAACTTGGTTAATTTCCAATAACCATCTTTACAGCGATGTTCAGGTACATTTTGAAACTACTTTAAATATTCCTCATATATTACAAATAGCTGAAAATTCTATTCCTGAACAGGATGGCGTTGCTTCTGAAACTTTATCACAACATTATATCACTTTAAATGACAACAAGGCAATATTACGCGGATCATTTAATCAAGGTGATTTACGATTTAATTTATCTCGGGGTAAGCAATGTACTGGGATAGCGGCTGTTGCTTGTGCAGCATTTAGTGTATTAGATCCAAACAAGTGGGCCAAAAGTGATATTGATTACATTGTAATTATTGGCGATAAATACTATAATGACTGCATCGCTGCTAGAGATAATCCTGCGCCCGGCGAAGTAAATCCTGAGTACCTTGCTGTTTCAGATCTTAGTCCAAGACTTATATATAATAAACAAAATTTAGTGATCACAGTACTTGAGGAAACCAATCATAATGGCCACATAGACAATGATAATACTTCCGATGGATTTCCTAATTTAAAAAATGCATTATTAAGTTTTTTCAGAGAACACTCCAATGGGATACTTACAGCAAACGCCATATCGATAGCAGTGCATTGCAGAACTTTAGGTGACAATCAAACTTACTTTTTGTTTGATTCCCATGCAAGAGGTCCCAAGGGGGGCTTCCGCTCCCATAAATGGTACCGCTTGTTGCATGCGATTTAGTGAACTGGATGATTCGCATGCTATTTTACGTCGCAATTTATTTGTGTCGCCAAAAAAAGTGCCAGAAGGAAACTTTCGAGATAATCTTAATGTATTCTCGTTAACATCATTAGTTATAGCTCGAGACTCCCAAAGACAAACAATTACGCCAATATTGGAACAATCGTCAAGGTTAGAGAGTCCAACATTTACACCAAACGATTCCCTCCAACCGATAATACAAACAGCTCGAGACTCCCAAATACAAACGATTACGCCAATATTGGAACATTCGTCAAGGTTAGAGAGTCCAACATTTACACCAAACTATTCCCTCCAACCAATAATACAAACAAGTAATACCCTCCAAACAACAACACAAGTCATTCAGTCTATCCAAAAAACAGTTCCGGTAAAATCAACCCATTTTCAGTTGCCATTACCAGTCCATAACTCCTTAAGCACCATTTATATCGAATCAACAGGTATGCTCCAAAATATAGACGATAACGTACCTAATTTAAAAAATGTTGTTAATATGAATAGCTCTTCAACCGATGATACAATGAGATTGGCCGCAATCACAAGGAAAACTGCACCTCCCTTGAATTTGTTTTTTCTTTTTCCAAATGGCAGGAATGGCTTTGGCGAGGAAAGAGAAAATGCGTGTACCCCCCTTGATTACTTTCAAAACCGGGTAATGAGTATTGACAAGAGGTTCAACAGAAATGATTATTTATTTTATGCTCTATCCATTGTTGAATATTTTCGTGCAAAATCAAGCGTATCTGTGTCATGTAGGATGCGACAAGGTCATGGAGAGCAAACACCACAGGGACTTGTAGATAATATGCATCTCACTATGAGAAATATTCGAGGATCGGCATCATATTGGCAGAAATGTTGCTCTGAATTGATTGCCATGGTTAGAACTTTAGGGCCTCCCACATGGTTTTTAACATTTTCCTGCAATGATTTAAATTGGCCAGACATGATAAAAGCCTTGCTTATCGCTGATGGAGGTGATATCGATGACGTCGATCGCCTGTCATTCCCGGAGCGCTTGAATCTAGTGCAAAAACATCCGGTAGTGTTAGCACGACAGTTCACAGTACGTGTTAACGCTCTCATGCGATTCTTAAAGAGAAATAAAGATTGCTTGGGTGGTCTTATTGAAGATTTTTGGTACCGAGTGGAGTTTCAAAACCGCGGTAGCCCACATCTGCATATGTTAGTCTGGTGTAGTAATGTTCCGAATTTCACCACTCCAGAAGGAGTTGCTGTAATTGAAAGGGTGGTTTCATGTTCATTAACTCTTAATGACCTTGTGTTGCGCAAATTAGTTGAGGATTTACAGATTCATAAACACACTGCGACATCCAAAAAAAATCGCCAAACTGATGGTTGTCGATTTGATTTTCCAAAGCCAGCAAGTGTTAACACCGTTTGTCTTGGACCAGATAAAGCACTTGCTAACAATGGACGATTTTGTATATTGAAACGAACCTCAAATGAAACCATGGTAAACAATTACAATGCAGTTCTTTTAAATCTATGGAAGGGAAATATTGACGTGCAACCGTGTGGTAATGTCACCGCTGTGGCCTACTACGTCGCAAAATATGCCGGTAAATGCGAACCACATGACACAGGTGATGTAATTCGAGAAGCTATTTCGAATGCTAAAAGACAAGGTGGTGTTGTTTGGAAACAATTGTTTTCAATATCAATGACTATTTTAAATAAACGCTTGGTGAGTGCGCCCGAATGCGCTTACAGATTATGCCATTTGCCATTGAAAATGTCGTCGCGAAAGACTGTTTTTGTGAATAGTTGCAGGCCGGAGGAACGTTACAGACTCCTGAGATTTGATAGCGATGAAACCAGTATTTACAATAATATTTTTGATCGTTATGTATTACGCCCAAACGAGCTGGAGAATTTAAGCCTTGCGGAATTTGCCGTCCGTTTTGAAACCGTCTCTAACACGACATGGTCAGAGGACAATGGGGATGCGGAACTGAGAGACGAAGATATTACGCCAGAGAGGTATATCAGATTACAGGACAATACGAGATTGCGTGTAAGAAATAGACCGGCAGTGTTACGTACCCGCTATTATACAATTAATAGTGACAAAGAAGCATATTATTACAGTTTATTAGTATGCCATATACCATTTCGTAATGACGGCGAATTACTTTTCGAAAATGAAACCGCTGAAGACTGTTTTATAAGACGAAAAGGGATCTTCGCCCGTTGCAGGGTGACATCAGTTCAGAACAAATTGGTCATGCCGAATTAATTATTCAACAAGCTGTTGCGCAAGCTACCGCGCTTAATGCTGCGCGTGAAACCGATATAGGCAATGCTTCCATGTTATGTGTTGGTGAAAAAATTTTACATGACGATGATAACTTTTGTGAAGACATGGAAGAACGAGCCGTCATATCAGATGAATTGTTCCTAGGAAGCATTCGAGGATTAAATATCCAACAGAAGGAATTATTTCAGAAAGTTTCAACGGCAATCGAAAACGATTTGCATGGACAAGAAAGCCAGCTGTTACTTTTTATCACGGGCGGTGCAGGCAGTGGTAAATCATTTCTGCTGAAATTAATCGTGGAGCACATTAAGCGTTGTTACGCACCAACAGTAGATATACTGCTGAAGCCTAAATTTGTGGAAGTTGGGTCGTTAACCGGGGTTGCCGCTCGTCAAATTTTTTGGCAAAACGCTACATAGTATTTTCTTGCTTCCGATTGAAAAAAAAATTCTATGACATACAAAAAAATTACAGGTCAAAGACTCGAGACTGAAAGGCGTGTAATAGTGGAGACGTACTGTCCACTATTAACAGACTCCGAGTGGTTTTCTTCAAGGTGGAGAAATGAAACTACTGTTTATGTTTATGAATGTACTGTCGAATGGGATTCGGAATGGAATATCTTTTGCATCAACCTTGCCTATATTTATATGGCTGGCTCACTATTGATTTGCCAATGGTAACAATTAATATTTCGCCTAGCCAATTATATTGCTTATTTTATGACCAATGAAAACTATTTAAAATATACAATTATCTACGTTTCGTTTCCCGGCGTGAGACTTGTTTGTTGTTCACGAAGCTACGTCGCTGGACCGGGCTATATAAGACATGCAGATCGGTGCGCACGCGTAGTCGGCGGGCGGCGGCGGTGTGGAATACAGCTCCGGAACAGCAAGAGGAAACGAACTGCGGCGTTGAAGAAACGGCTCACCATTGGTCGACGGATACGTGACGATAGCGGCGTGTGAAGTCGGTGTGGCGCTGAATGATATTTGCGGCTGCTTCTTGTTTCTTTATAAGAACGTCAAATTATCTATATACAGTCCGCAGTATCTCAGTAGCCAAGAATAATTAGGAAATAAAAATGTTTTTTTATTTATTCTCGCCTTCCGCGGTATGGTAGCAGCGGAGTATATATTATTTATTCCCTTTTAGGTTTGATTAATCAGGCTGCTACATCACTCTCCCCCCAGCGAAAGCGTACCGGAGGCTTGACGACTCGCCCGTATTTCGTAGTTTTTAAAATAGGTTTCAACTGGGTTGATGTAGATGATGAAGTTTCAAGCTTCCTCGCTGGTGGTTTTGATGATGATGATGAATCCTCTGCAGTATCCTCGTTAATAATATAGGCAGGCTTTAGTCGGTCGATCGATATAATCGTAGATTTCCTTCCGGGTATTTGTAGTTTAAAAGTCTTGCTATTTCTCTCTAATACTTTATACGGTCCATCGTAGGTAGGTTGAAATTGTTTTTTTCATTGCGTCGTTTCTTACAAAAACTTGTTTGCATGTTTTCAAATCTTGGTGAATGAATACTGATTTATTATTTCTGTGTGATTGCATTTCGGTGCATTTCAACGATAAGGCTTTGTTAATTGATTCTCGAAGTTTAGTTACGAAATCGTAATCCATTTCTTGTTTGTTTGACGCTGCTGAACTGAAGAAGTCACACGGCAGCCTTATGCTGCAGCCGTAGGTTAGCTGAGCGGCGCTAAGACTAGTGTCTGCACGCGGTGTTGCTCGTAGTCCGAGTAGCACTGTAGGTAGCTCATCAATCCACTTTGTATGTTGAGATAAACGAGTTTTGAGTGCAGTCTTTAATGTACGATGCCATCGTTCGATTATTCCGTTTGACTGAGGATGGTATGCTGTTGTACGCGTCTTCTGTATTCCCATAGTTTAAGAAAGAAGTTTGAGGAATAGGTTGCTTTCGAAATTCCTTCCTTGATCCGTTGTGATGGTTTTAGGTGATCCGAAACGAGTAATCCAATTTTCATAAATTATCTTCGCGACGGATTCGGCTGAAGTATCATCGGTAGGTATTGCTTCTGGCCATCTTGTTGTTCTGTCGATCATTGTTACGAGATAACGATGTCCTTGCGGTGAAGTAGGTAATGGTCCAACGATGTCAACGTGCAAGTGTTCGAATCTCTCCGTGGGTGGAAATGTAGCTAGACTACTTGATGTATGCCTTTGTACTTTGCATTTTTGGCATTGAATGCATTGCTTCGCCCAGTTGCCAACATCCGCTTGCATTGCAGGCCAAAAGAATTTTTCAGTGATGAGTTTTCTTGTTGTTCTAACACCTGGATGACTAATGTTGTGCAGTGTATTGAAGACTTCGCGACGACATTCTTCTGGTATGTATGGTCGCATGGTTGTCGTTGAGGCTTCACAGTATATAGGTAGATGCGTCATTGGCATTGTAACTTGCTTGATGGACAAGTTACCTTGCTTCGATAGATGTTTTATGTTGTCACTATCTCTGTCTTGTGCTGCGGCGATCTTATGATAGTCGATTGATGTAGGGCACGTTACACTGTCGATTGGTACGCGACTGAGTGCGTCGGCAACTATGTTGTCCTTTCCACTGATGTGACGTATGTCGGTCGTGAATTCACTTATGAAAATAAGTTGTCTTGCTCTTCGTGGTGTTTCCGATAGTGATGGTTTCTTTGGAAGTACATATGTTAATGGCTTGTGGTCGGTAAAAACGATCAGGTTTCGACCCTCGAACGTTTTTCTGAAGTGCTTGATAGCCATGTAAATAGCGAGTAGCTCTCGGTCGAATGTACTGTAGTTACGTTGAGTATCGGAGAACTTCTTCGAAAAATATCCAAGTGGTTGCCATTTCCCATTGCTGTATTGTTGGAGAACTGCTCCTGCTGAGAGATCGGATGCGTCGCTGAAGATAGCAAGGGTTGCTTCGTGTGATGGGTGAGCGAGTAAAGCTGCATTTTGGATCGCAATTTTACAAGCTTCAAATGCCTTCGTGGCTTCATCGTTCCATTCGATTGACGTTTTATCTTTTTTCTTCGTGTTGTGAAGGTAGGCGTGAAGTGGTGCTTGGATTTCAGCGGCTTTAGGTATGTGTTCTCTGTAAAAATTTATCATCCCAAGAAAACGCCTTAGCTCTTCGATAGTTTTAGGTTTTGCATAATCGATGATTGCTCTGACTTTTTCGGCAGGCGGTTTTATTCCTTCCTTGCTGACGGTGAAACCAAGAAATTGAACTTCTTGCTGTCCAAATATGCATTTCGAAGGGTTGATTGTGATTCCGTTGTCTTCTAATCGCTGTAGCACGGTGCGTAGATGGGTTTCGTGCGTTTCTTTATCAGGGCTTGCAACAAGGAGATCATCAATAAATGCGAAAACGAAATCCAGTCCATGAAGTACTTCGTGTATGAATCTTTGGAAAGTTTGACCTCCGTTCTTTAATCCTGGGATCATTCTTGGGAATTCGAATAATCCCATTGGGGTAATTATTGCTGTCTTCTCTATGTCTTCATCGCGGACTCTTATTTGTTGGTAAGCTCGGTTGAGATCGATGGTGGAGAATATAGTCTTGTCTGATAGTTGATGAGTGAAATCCCTGACTCGCGGTATTGGGTAGCGGTCAGGAGTGGTAATAGAATTCAGTCTTCTGTAATCTCCACAAACTCGTAATTCTCCGTTCTTCTTCGGTACAATGTGAAGTGGTGATGACCAAGGGCTTTTGCTTGGACGGCATATTCCTTGCTCAATCATGTTTTCGAATTCCTTTCGAACTTGCTCGTATAGGTGTGGTGCGATTGGACGTGCACGACAATGAAGTGGTGGTCCATTGGTGTCGATGAAATGCTCAACGTCGTTCTTCGGTGTTAATTTCATTGAAGTTATTCTTGTGATACCAGGGTATTCTTCGAGGATCTTGTGATACGGTTGTTGCACATCTATGCTTCTGATTGTGGGCAGATTGGTTGCTTGTACAAAAGACTGAGATGCAAGATTGGTTTTCCCGTCGATGATTCTTCTATTTTTGATGTCGACGACCAACTGGTGATGTTGAAGAAAATCAGCACCGATGATTGGTTTGCTGACTTTAGCGACGATAAATCTCCATTTGAATGGTCGGCGTAGATTAAAATCAAGTTCCATTGTTTTTTCTCCATATGTAGGAATAACCGTATTGTTTGCTGCATAGAGTTGAAAATCTAGTGGCTTCAACTTCTGTCCTTGCTTCGGCGGTAACACTGAGATATTTGCTCCGGTGTCGATAAGGAAAGTAAGCTTGCTTTTTTTATCGGTGACGAAAAGACGGTAGGACTTTGCTGTTACGCTGAATCCCGTCGCATCGAGCGTACTAGTTAGTTTTCCGTATTCGTATTTTCATTTTTGAATGTACACGGTGCTGTGCATTTTCTTGCCTCGACCCCGAAACGTCGATGATAGTAGCAGTAAGGGGATCTTGATGTTGAGCTTATTCGACTTCTACTTGCAGAGCGGTTGCGACGAAAAGGTGATCTTCGGTGTTGCTGATTGCGCTGGTTGTACTGTTGCTGGTAAAAGGTATGATGCTGGGAAGCTTTGAGCGCGGCGACTTCGAATGATAGCTTCCGAATTTCTTCGAGGAGAAACTGGGTATCATTGGCCTTTGTTGAAGTGCCTTCGATGATCGATATGTGTGAGCTACTGCTGTTTTCGATCATCTTGTCCGCCAGGAGTGCCAGTTCGTCGAGCTTCGTCTGCGTGCTGAATGTTTCGCTGACTGCTATTACCGATCGAATATGTGGTGGTAGGTGGTTTACCCACATTAGCCGTAGTGTTGAATCCGGAACTTTATCTCGCGCCAAAGTACGCATTTTGCGTAGGAGTTGTGTGGGTTTCTGGTCTCCAAGTTCTATTTCTGATAGAAGTTTTTGTAGCTGTCGACTGTCGGATTCTTCATATGCGGAGATCAGACGATCCTTCAGTGAATTATACTGGTCGACTGCTGGTGGGTTGTACAACAGGTCCGCAATTTGTTCGATGTCTTATTTCTCAAGTTGGGCTATCACTATCTGTGCTAATTGCGCTTGGCTCTTCTTTAAACCATTCGTTGCGGCTTCAAAACTGACGAACCAAAGTCGTGGTTTGTCTCTCCAAAACGGTGGTATTCTTAACGATAGAGATATACCGGCGATTTCTGGTTCCTTTACCGGGTTTGATGTATATGTGTTTGCCTCCTGCTCCATAATGACGGCTTGATTACACTGATTTTATATAAACTGAAGTCTTCCTTCTCGGTGTTCGTACGGGTTTCCTTCGCGGTGTTCGTGCAATAGTAGTGGTACGTCGCAGGGTGTTCCTTCTTGGTGTTCGTACCGGATCTTCCCCCTCGGTGTTCGTACGGGGTCACCACTGTAATAGTGGAGACGTACTGTCCACTATTAACAGACTCCGAGTGGTTTTCTTCAAGGTGGAGAAATGAAACTACTGTTTATGTTTATGAATGTACTGTCGAATGGGATTCGGAATGGAATATCTTTTGCATCAACCTTGCCTATATTTATATGGCTGGCTCACTATTGATTTGCCAATGGTAACAATTAATATTTCGCCTAGCCAATTATATTGCTTATTTTATGACCAATGAAAACTATTTAAAATATACAATTATCTACGTTTCGTTTCCCGGCGTGAGACTTGTTTGTTGTTCACGAAGCTACGTCGCTGGACCGGGCTATATAAGACATGCAGATCGGTGCGCACGCGTAGTCGGCGGGCGGCGGCGGTGTGGAATACAGCTCCGGAACAGCAAGAGGAAACGAACTGCGGCGTTGAAGAAACGGCTCACCATTGGTCGACGGATACGTGACGATAGCGGCGTGTGAAGTCGGTGTGGCGCTGAATGATATTTGCGGCTGCTTCTTGTTTCTTTATAAGAACGTCAAATTATCTATATACAGTCCGCAGTATCTCAGTAGCCAAGAATAATTAGGAAATAAAATGTTTTTTTATTTATTCTCGCCTTCCGCGTTATGGTAGCAGCGGAGTATATATTATTTATTCCCGTTTAGGTTTGATTAATCTGGCTGCTACAGGCGTAAATGGCGCTATATAAATTGGCTAGTCATAGACGAAATTTCTATGGTCTCCTATGAGAACTTAAGAATAATTCACCTAAGACTCCAAGAATACAAAAACAACGAGAAGTTATTCGGTGGAGTCAACATTTTAGTATTTGGTGACATATTTCAGCTTCCTCCGGTGAAAGGGAATTGGTGTTTTGTGCAGCCATCGTGGTTTTCGGTGGAGGTCAATTTGTGGCATCAGTTTTCTTTTTGTGAACTGACCATAAACATGCGACAGCGCAATGATAGCGAATTCATCGATTTATTGAACAGCTTACGGGTAGGTGAACTGACGACGGCTCAGCTGGAATTACTATGCGAGCGGCGCCACGTGCCTATAAATGGTGAATTTGCGGATGGAGTCGCCGTTCGTATCTTTCCCACGGTCAGGCAAGTCGACGATTACAACGACAAAATAACCAAGGAAAATGCAAAGCTGCACCGAACTTATTTAATCAACGCAGTGGATAAGTCGCGTGAAGTAGCGACATATGGTAGAAAACCACCAGAGAACGTGATTCCCAAAGACGTCAATAACTGTGGTGGTCTTCTGCCATCGATAAGAATTAGCGTCGAATCTCGAGTGATGTTGAGACGCAATATCTCCGTCTCTGAAGGGCTAGTAAATGGAGCTATGGGTATAATAAAAAAAATCAAATGGCCGGCCTTGAGGAGAGATCAACTGGAGGATGGAGAGCTACCAGAAGCCGTGTACGTTAAATTTGATGACGAAACTATCGGTCGCAGGCTAAAAGATAGTAATGGTTGCGTACCCATACCTCCATCAAGTACTACATTTCAGGCAGTAAGGGGTTACGGAGATGTGGAGCGCCGTATGCTGCCTCTAATATTAAGCTGGGCAGTTACAGTTCACAAACTACAGGGTACGACCCTCGAAAGAGCTGTGATTGACCTTGGAAAGAAAAACTTCGCAAAAGGGCAAATATATGTGGCACTAAGTCGTGTTAAAAGTTTGGAAGGCATAGCTTTATCAGATTTGGACGCCAACAAATTATTAAATAAACCACACGACGACAAATCGTTGAAAGAAATGACGAGGTTACGAAATCTGTCTTCCGACAATGAAGACCACGCATAATACTCGTACACCTCAAGTAGCGCAATTAGAATGAAAGATATACCGTTAAAATCATCAATCATTATCAATGGCTAGGATGCTATGTTTTATTCCGGAGTTCCGGTGCCTAATAACTTCATTGTCAGATCAAAAGTTGTATCATAGAAATAATTTTGTTTTTAGCTTTTTAGTGTGTACCCTTTCGAGTGTTATAGTTCCGTTTTATTTCGCCGAAGATCTTAATTCGGACATCACCAAATTATAAAAATGGGACCACCTCGAAATACTATGAATCGAAATACGATGCTCTTCTCAATCACCCTTTACCGTTTTTCCGTTTACCGTTCGACAAGTAATAAATATAAGTATAAAATAAAAAAATCGGCAGATGAGAACATCGTCAATGCAATCGAAGTCAATTATATATGCATTATTAACCCGGCGGTACTCGCTGCTGGGTAAAAAAATACCACAGAGTACCTAAATCACGTGATATTTTTATTACTAAACATGGTGGCAACTCACGACTTTAAGTACCTTCTGGCCAATAGTTAACACGCGCGTGCGTCACCGGGCGGCCAGTTCGCGCGCGGCGCTTGGCGACAACGGACGTTTAAAGTGAGTATGGGTGAAAAATACCCGGTAGCGACGGTTCTTGTTACATTTTTTTTTATGTTATTGGTGGTTTTTATGTTATTATTTTGTTTTAGAGCTGGTTCATGATGAGTTCCCTACTGACGGATCGAATTATAGAAGAATGTCTAGAACAAGAAGATAGTGAAGAAGAAAATGTGTCAGAAATAGAAGATTTTGAGGAGCATAGTGATCACGAAAGCGGAACAGAGCAAGAAGCAAGTGATTCAGATGGGTCTTCAGTGTCGGAAGAGAGTTTTCCTTCGAATTTACAAATTGAGAATACTGAAGATGAAGAATATTTAGAGGATGTACCGCTTAAGTACTTGAGGCGAGGTCGTTTTACTGGAAAAGACAAAAGAACTCGCTGGCAAGTTCGTGAGCCGCCGCGACGTGTACGAACAAGATCCCATAACATTATATATCATTTGCCGGGACCGATTGGCGAAGGCAGATCTTGTTCATCTATGTTAGAAGCCTGGAATCTTGTTTTTCCGGAAACGTGTTTACTAAAGATAGTCCAGTATACTAACATTTATTTAAAAGAGCTAAAGTCTAAATTCTCAAGAGAACGCGATTGTAAAAGTACAGATATCGTTGAACTTAGAGCTCTTTTTGGACTACTTTATTTCTGCGGAAGATTGCGAAGTGGTCATCTGAACACAAAAGATCTCTGGGAAAAAGATGGAAGTGGTTCCGACGTCTGTATAGCCACAATGTCACGAGAAAGGTTCCATTTCTTACTGCGGAGTTTACGGTTTGACAATATTCGTAGACGAGGTGAAAGAAGGCAAACAGATAAGCTAGCACCCATTCGCGAGATTTTCGAAGAGTTCAATAATAATATAAAAAAATATTATGCTGTCGGCGAAAATGTAACAATCGATGAAAAGTTGGAGAAGACTCGCGGCCGTTGTCCATTTCGGCAATACATACCCAGCAAACCCGGTAAATACGGTATAAAGATATTTATGTTGGCTGACGCACGAACCTTCTATACAAATAATATGGAAATTTATGTTGGCAAAAATGATGGGCCTTATGATCACAGTAATTCACCAAGTGAAGTCGTCAAACGCTTAGTAGAACCTATAAAGAATAGTCATCGTAACATAGTGATGGACAATTGGTTCACTAGTTTTCCGCTATTACGTGATTTGCTCAATGATTATGGTTTGACAGCATTGGGTACTTTGAGAAAGAATAAAGCTGAAATTCCACTTGTATTTACCTCAACCAAAGACCGGGAAGTACACAGTTCCCTTTTTGGATTTCAAGATAATTGTACTGTTGTGTCTTATGTTCCAAAGAAAAATAAAGTCGTGCTCTTGGCGTCAACTATGCACCATGATGGCAAAAAAGATTCTGGAGAAGAAAAAAAGCCCGAGATGATCATGGACTATAATAGAACAAAATGTGGCGTCGATGTTGTGGATGAGATGTGTGCTACCTACTACTACCTAGTAGCACGAGCTACCAAAAGATGGCCATTGGTTTTGTTTTATGGTCTTTTGAACGTCGGCGGCATCAATGCGTACGTGATAGTGAAGGCAAATAAAGTAAATAGTGGAGCTGTGATGGCTCAGAGAAGGATCGCTTTGAAAGAACTGGCTTTGGCCCTTGTGATGCCACAGATAAAAAAGAGGTCAACAGTAGCTAATTTGCCAAAAATTATCAAAACAAAAATTGATTGTATGCTCAATGCTGACTCGAACGACGAAGCCACGCACACAAGCACACCCTCAGCTTTGCGACCGTCCACATCTGCTTCCCGTTGTGCAGTATGTGATCCATTCACATACTGCACAACGGGAAGGACCGAAAAACTAAGACGTCTTGTAAATTGTGTTCCAAAAGAATATGCCGTGAGCATACGACCCCAATTTGTGGCGATTGTTATGTCAAAGCAAAATAGTTAGATTAGGTACAAGTTTTTTGAAACATAATGTTTGACGATTATTTTCTCGATGTTCATTTAATATAAACAGTATTTTATTTTTTGTTGTTTTGATAGTGTATAAGGTCGTTTTATAATTTTTGATCTCAATTTTACGTGATACCTAAGAAAAAAAATTGTTTTGTTGATTTTTCTAAGACTATGAAGAATTTTTGTTAGAATTTGTATTTTTTTTAGGATAAGCTATAATTTGAAATAAATAATAATTCAAACTTTTAATTTTCTTTTATTTATTAGATATTAGTATTAATAAACTAAATACACCATTAAAGTTTGTAATGCAAACTTATTTTTCCAAGATAATGTCATTTAAATTATGTGGTATTTTTTAGCCGGTAGCGAGTATTCGTGCATGTAAACACCTAGCGAGTACCGCCGGGTTAAGGATAACTCAAAAAGTACTGGTAAAACTTGGATCAAATTTATACGGGACCACACGAGAAGTACCAGCTTTCAAATAAAAAAAGAATCATCGAAATCGGTTCACCCAGAAAAAAAAATCTGCAGATGAGAATACCGTCAATGCAATCGAAGTCAATTATATATGCATTATTAAGGATAACTGAAAAACTGCTGGTCAAACTTGAATCAAATTTATATGGGACCACACGAGAAGTACCAGCTTTCAAATAAAAAAAGAATCATCGAAATCGGTTCACCCAGAAAAAAGTTCTGAGGTAACACACATAAAAAAAAAACGAAAAAAAAAACATACAGTCGAATTGAGTACCGGCTCCTTTTTGAAGTCGGTAGAAAATATTACATATTATACTTGTAATTACCGAAAGTAAGACACTCCGGCCGTTAAATTACTTTTTCGGGTATTATTCTTGCAACTTTTGTTGTGTTTGTGTTTGTGTTTCAAGTGAACTAAACGAAGTAAGAGCTCACGTCTCATATGCGCTGTTATTTACTTAGATGAATTTCTTGCACCGACCCGACATCTAGTTGGTATTGTTGATCGAAGATTCAGCACACACAATTAAAAATTGTTTTATTGTGGCCGGATATCAATATAGTACAATATAGTGTCAAATGATGACGTCATTTGCATTTGTCAGTATACTGGGTTGTATTTCGGAACATACCCATAATATCGTCCCTCTCGATGGAGTTAGGATTTCGGGGAAAACCCTATTATAGTTGGGATAATGCATGTGTGACCAGGTAAATACATTTTATACATTTACTAGCAATATTTAGTAATTTTGATGAATGAATATTATATATAATGGAATCATAACACAAAATATTTGGATTCAAATGTGTTTCATTTATGTATTTATTAGAGTAGAAGACTATTTTGTTAAGAAATTTGTCAATATTTATTATTATTTAATGGCAATATTTATTAATTTTACAGCGAGCGCTAACCATCTGAGCTACCACGGCTCTTCGGCAAGAGCTGTGGTAGCTCAGATGTTTAGCGCTCGCTGTAAATTTCACAATACGCGAGCAAACCGGGTTCGATCCCCGCCGGCACCAATAAAATTGTTAATTGCAATTTTAAGTGCTGATTTACCACGTGCTCGGCGGCGAAGGAAAACATCGTGAGGAAGCCTGCATGTCTGAGAGATAAGAAAAAAATATTTCGAAGACATGTGAAGTTCGCCAACACGCATTGGGGCAGTGCGGCGGACTATTCCTTGCTCTAAAACCCTCTCAGAAATGAGAGAAGGCCTGTGCCCAGCAGTGGGACGTATAAAGGCTGTAACTTTACTTTTTTATTGTCGTTGAAACGAAAAAGTTTATAAAAGTGCATTTTATTGTTTTTAACTGCTACCTCCGGTGCTCTGCTTGATTTGCTTCTTAAGAATGCCACCTCCTGGCGGAGGACAAAGTAATGGTTGGAAATATTTTACGAAAGTTGATCAAAATAATTCAGCGAAATATAAAATTAATGCAAAATTATGAATTCTTGCGGTAAAACTTAAAAAAAACCCAGAGGTAAGTAAAATTAAACAAACTGATAAGATAATTATCAATTGGGTGTGTTCTTACGAAAAAACCCTGTGGAAGATCCAAATAAAATACTACTATGAAATTATGACAAACTATCGTGTTTTTGAATCGGCAATTCTGGACACTTACAGATTGAAGAATAATAATAATGGATTCATTGGATTTTATCTAGTACATGAACGATAAATCGGACTGTATCAGGATTTCCGAATAGAGTCCGTTTCATGAAAGAAGTCCCACGGAAAATGTGCGAACTAAAATTTTATGTATGGAATTTGACACTAGATGTCAAATTTCCCAAAGATTGTGGTGCCGCTGCTAAGGGACTCCTTTCATGAAACAGACTTTAATTATGATCCAGAAGTGCAATACTAGAATTTACCGATAGAGTGAATGAGGTTGTATCAGTAAATTACACATGTGATTTGAATAGTTTTCCATGGGATTATATCAGAAAATTATTATATCAGATTATATCAGAAAAATGGAAAGAAAAGCAAAATAAAGTATCGGAAGTTCCAACTTATTGTTTTGGTAAAGAGAATAATAATAATTGTTTTCAATGGGTTTTATGATAATTTATCAGTTACATAATTTATCAGCTAATCCGAATTAGAAGACTGTCAGATTGTATGGGGTTGATCGAAATACAGTTTTTAGGTATCGATACTTTTAATTTGCGGAACCCTAATTGTCAATGTCATTTGCATAGATGAGGTCATGGAGGTCATGGAGTTTAGAGAACAGGAGAACGATCGCTGTAGAAAATAGTGTCTCAGAAACATGGACAAAATAAGTGAAGCACTACGGTCGCTAAGTTGTCTGAATAAAAGCGGGCTGTTGTGTGCTAGTTTAAAATGATTATAATATCATTCAAAGAAAAAAAAAAGAAAATGACGAACTTATTATTATTTATTAATAAATTATGTTTTTTATAATTTTAATTATTACAAATATTATAAGTTATTATGAATATATGTTTCTTTTTGTCAATAATTTAAAAATTTCTTCGCAGATTACTACTTACCGACGTCAGCGCCCATTATAAATTCTACAAACTTTTAGGGACAGGCGGGCTATGCTTTAGTACGTAGCGATCGTTCTACTGTTCTCTAACCTCCATGGATGAGGTATATTATATTATAAATCTATGGATAAGCTAATGTAATCGGGAAGTCATGTGCATTTGTTGGGTGTGATCCGAAATAGAACCCAGTCATTAAATATAATATATACTACTCGTATATTATGTATGTATAATAGTATTCTATGAATCGATTCGATTTGGAAATCGCACTCAGGACAGGATCATTGAGTGCATATCTTTTACAGATTCCTACGCAAGCTTGTATCAATAAATTTCGGCAATTTTTCTTTATTACCTTTTTTTCTCAAACAGTATT